TCCTGTGTCTCTAAGTACCTACATCTTTCTTCTGCTAACCTCCCTCTTGTATATTTTAGCCTGCACTGTCAACACTGTATTTTCATGAACTGACCTTTGAAATCTTCAGTTGAACTCTTTGACTACCTAAGTTTCTTCCATTCACTTTAGTATCTCTACACTGGAGAACAAGTTTCAGAGTTTCTTCTAACATCCAATGTAGGCTTTTCTTTCTTTCCTGTCTTTTGACTGTTGCTTTTTCCCTGTGTTCTTGATATCATTCCACAACTTCTATGGTCTTTGGTCAGTAGTGTCTAATGCATCTTATCTGTTCTTGAGATGGTCTCTAAATTCAGGTGGGATATATTCAAAGTCATATCTTGGCTCTCGTGAACTTGTTTTAATTTTCTTCAGCTTCAGCCTGAATGTGCATATGAGCAACTGATGGTCCATTCCATAGGCTGCTCCTGGTCTTGTTTTGGCTGATGATACTGAGCTTTTCCATAATGTAGTCAACTTGATTCCTGTTTATTTCATCTGATGAAGTACATGTGTATAGTTGCCTTGTATGTTGCTTAAACATGTTTTTTAATTGAGTAAGTCATTGGTCTTACAAAATTCTATCATGCAGTCTCCAACATCATTTTTATCGGCACCAAGGCCATATTTTCCAAATTCTGATCATTCCTCTTAGTTGCCAAACTTGAACCACTTAGGAACCATGTACGAGTCAGTGTTACCAAAAACATCTGGTCAAAGAAGTTTAAGCTGCACTGAAGTCTCTGGGGACCTTGTGGTTCAAACTCACTTTGCGGTCCAGTGCATTAACCTACGACGCCACACCAGGAAAGGCATCCTAGAACTGGACTATAGGAGGAAGAAAGAGTTTTCAATATTGGAGGAGGACTCATTAACAGCCTGTGATACGCAGGTGATACATGCTTGCTTGCTGAAAACAAATAGGACTTAAAACATTTATTGATGAAAATTAAAAACCACAGCCTTCAGTATGGATTACAACTCAACACAAACAAAAGAAAAAGTCTCACAACTGGACCAATACACAACATCACAATAAACTGAGAAAACATTGAAGTTGTCAAGGATTTTGTTTTACATGAATCCACAATCTACACCCATGGAAGAGGCTGTCAAGAAATCGCAGGCCTTATTCTATTGGGCAAATGTGCTGCAAAAGACCTGGTGTGGCACTGTAGGAGAAACACTGGGCTGCTAACTGCAAGGTCAGCGGTTCAAACCCACCATCAGCTCCTTGGAAGCCCTATACAGCATCGTAAAGTCCTTATTAACTCAAGGGCACTTAACAACAACCAAATGTTGAAAAGTAAAGATGTCACCTTGAGGACTAAAGTGTGTCTGACTCAAGTCATGGTATCTTCTAGCACCTCAAGTACATGTGCTAACCGGGTAATGAACTAGAAAGACTGAAAAAGAATGGATGCCTTTTAATTATGGCGAAGAAAACGGAATAAACCATGGACTGCCACAAGAACGAACGTATCTTGGCAGTACACACAGAATGCTCCTTCGAACAGTTTGGCCAGACTTCATCTCTCAGACTTCGGAAGTGTTCTCGGGAGGGACCCCACAGACCCCGGTGAAGGACATTACGCCGGGTATTGTAGAGAGTTAGCGGAAAGGAGAAAAACCTTCAACGAGATGGCTCGACCAGTGGCTCCAACAATGTGCTCAAACATGGCAACGGTTCTGAGGATGGAGCAGAGCTAGACCGTGTTCTTGGGGTCACTATGGTACAGACTCGATGACGCTAACAATACCAACGACACTGCTCCGCCGAGCCCGACGAGCATCGTACTTCCGCTCAGTCTCACGCAGACCGGAAAAGCTCTCTTCCGCAAGCTGGAACCGCAAAGCACCCTGGGAAGCGGGCCTTTTTTGGCTTCTCAGCGCCTGCGCACACTCAGCTCTCCGCAGGAGCGCCTGGCGGCGCACGCGCAGGCGCGTCGTTCTCCGTTGAGACGGTGCCGCGGCGGCGCCTGAGGTAGGAGGAGCCGGGCTTTGGGGCCCGGAGTGTGAACCCGGGAGGCGGATGTGCTGTCACCTCGGGCCTTTCTCGCCCACCGCCCTCACAGGTCCTTTGGTCTCGGAAGCCACGGTGTAAGGACCGGAGCCGCGCTGGGTGGAGAGGGCCCGCCCGAGGGGGTAGGGGGTGGGTCCGGATGCTGCGGTGGTCACGGTCCCGGGGTCCGTTGGCAGCCGGAGTTGTCACCGCGATCGGAATGCTTCCAGCCGTCAGAGCCCTTAACTGCCCTGTTCCAAGCCGTTCCCCATCCCTCCCTCTGTGTGTTGCGGGATCGAGGGAAGGAGAATGGGCCCGCGTTTCCCCATTCATCCCGCACATCGGTGGATCTGGCGCGGTCGCGGTGCGAAGCTGAGTGGAAGTTGAGGAGCCCGCAGGAAGCTGAGGAAGCGGAGGGTTCCCTCACCTCACTCAGCGAACGTTAACTGAGCGTGTACAGGAGGCGGACAGAAACCCAGATTACCAAGCTGTGTGCTCCCTCACCTAAAGGTTGGCAGGTCAACCCACCGTGCGCCCCGCGGAAGAAAGGCCTGGCGGCGTACTGCTTCCGTAATGATTATTGTCATCAATTCGATTCTGATTCATGGTGACTCCAAGTGTGCAGCATAGAAGGGCTACAGAAGGTTTCCAAGCAGATCTAACAAGGTGTCGCTGGGTGTGTTCAAACTACCAACTTTCGGCTAGTGCTCAGCCATTTGCACCACCCAGGGGCTCCTCTGTAAAGACCACAGCAGAGAAAAACCTATAGAGCAGTCCTGGTGTGGCACTACTACTGCGTGTAATGTGCTGGGGCTGCAAAATCGGTTTGAACCGCAAGGTTGGTGGTTCAAGCTCACCAGCCGCTCCTTGGAAGCCCTATACAGGGTCGCTATGGGTCGGAACCGACTTGGATGCACTTAACAACTCTACCACATGGAGTCCTAGTGTGGCACTGTAGGATAAGCACTGGTTCCTAACCAAAACTCACCAGGGTTGTTATGAGTTGGAATCAACTCAATGCCACATTTTTCTAGCACATGGCTTGCCATGCATCAGGACCCCCTAAAAAGCAGCTCCCCACAACAGGTGTGAACTGACTCAATACAGTTGTGGAGGAGGTGGGATTTGCTCTCTTCACACCCCACGACCATCAGGGTACAGATTCAGTTTACTTAGCCTTTAATTCCAGGCCCTTGTGAGCTGATCTTTTCTCCCTGCAGCTTTCTCTCCCCTCTGGTTATAACACCAGTGCAACACATCATTGTCCACTGGATCAGGCAAGAGGAAGACAAAATAAAACAGATGGACCTGTGCCCTTGCAACATTTTCACGTATGAGGGTCAGATAATAAGTAAATGAATAAAAATGTAAGAACTGGCCATCTGGATCCAGATTGCCCAGGTTGATCCCAGCCCTGCCACTTGAGAAAGCTGTGTGAACTTGAGTCAGTTTCTCATCCTGTTTCCTTGCTATATAGGAGGTAAGGGGTAAATTCTACCTTAGAAGACTGTTGGTAAGGACAGTTGTTGTTAGGTGTTACTAAGTCATCAACTGATAGCAACCCCATGTGACAGACTAGATCTGCCACATGGGGTTTTCTAGGCTCTAATCTTGACGGAAGTAGATGCCCAGGGTTTTTCTCCTGTAGGGCTGCTGGATGGTTGTCATCTGCCAGTGTTTTGGTTAGCATCAGAATACTTAATGTTGCTCCACCAGTGTCCCTTGTTTTAAGGACTGAATGCCTTTTAAAGTCTTGTTAAGCAGCTGGAAGTGTGCCAGACAAACATTAAGCAATTAATGTTACCCATTCCATACAGTTGTGGTGGTGGTGGTGGGCTCTCAAGTCAGTTCCAACTCAGAGCGACCCTGATTAGGGTTTCCAAGAGCAGCTGGTGCATTTGACCTGCCAACCTTGAGGTTACCAATGCAATGCTTATCTGACAATGCCATCCATACCAGGGCTCCTTCATGTAATTCAGGTACATATGCATTTAAGAATCACCGCCTGGGTATCTTGTGAAAATGTAGATTTAGATTTCTTCTATCTGGGATGGAAAAGCAAAGTTTCAGCATGGAGGTAAAACCGGGATGAACCCGTTTGAAGACCTACCTTAGCCCAGCGTTGTTATTGTTGTTGGGTGCCAAGAAGTCAGTTTTTACTCAGTGATCCCATGTGATAGAGCAGAACTGTCCCTGAGAATTTTCTAGGCTGCTATCTTTAGGGAAGCAGACTGCAGAGTGGCTCATGGGTTCAAACCACCAAACTTACAGTTATTAGCCAAGCACGTAACCATTGCACTACCATGGCTCCTTAAGACTAGAGCTAGTTCTTCTGGATCTAGTGGTCACCTTGTTACTGTGGTAACTGTCCCTCATGGGCCTTACTTGCCAAATTTAGTAAACACAGTACTCTTCCAAAATGCACATATTCTTCTGTCTATGGAAGGATATACTTTCAGCTTCCTAGGTCTCTTTCCTCTGCTGGGCTGTGATGTTCTGTCCGACAGTCAGTCTGTGTTCACCCAGGCTGCACCTGAGGACTTGACAGGAGTGTTGTTACTCCGTGGAGTCCTCGTGTGTTGCTGTGGGTTAATGCGTTGGGCTGCAAGGTCAGTTTGAACCACAGGTCAGGGGTTCAAATTCACCAGCCGCTCCTCGGAAACCCTATACAGGGTCGCTATGGATTGGAACTGACTCAATGGCACTTCGTAGCAACAAATCACATTGTTACTCTGTAGACATTCCCCGTGTCCCATGTGCTTCTGGACTTTTCTGGGAGAAATGACATGGAATAACAATGTCTGCTCATTACACTTAGATACTTTTGGTTTTCCACAGGTGCAAACTTCAACAAACCAACCCTTCTGTCACACCATGGTGAGCTAAGCACCAGGTTCATATATTTTCTGTCTCAGAAGCGTCTTATCAGACAACAAGACATTCACTCAAATGGGAGCTTTCACAGAGGGAAGGTCACACCATGTTGCTTAACCTCAAGCCCGATTGGAAGAAAGATGTTTTAAATCGGTACAGAGGAGCAAACAGTACTTGTGACTCGGTTGTACGAACTCTCCAAGCATCCCAGTGAGAAGAACAGAAGAGCCCCCGCGAAGCAGGGAGTGTGAGGGGGACCAGCTCAGTCTTACCTGCAGTTCCCTTTCTCCTCCGGGCACCTGGGTCCAGGTCAGCCGTCTCCTCTGAAAACCAACAGGAACATCTTGACACCGGTCAGACAATGGAGGAGTCAGATGATGATTTTAAAGAACTGTGCAGCAGCTATTTCCAAAGGGTGAAAAAGAGTGGACCCAAGGAATTGTCACGAGATAGGAAGAAGCCAAAGGCCTCAAGCAGCACTCAGATAAGAAACAAACTGAAAAAGCCCAGACAGACTGCCAGCAAGAGCAAAACCCTCCCAGGCTCAACGGAGAAGAAGTCACGAGTTGGCAGACAGGCCTCACGGGCTGCCAATCGAGGAGCTGCCAAGTCGCAAGAGCAGGAGCCGATAACGCCCACGGAGAATGGGGCGGACCACGTGCTCCCGCCCGCACAGGTGCCTGCGGTGGATCTGCCTGCACTCGGAGATGGTGTTCAGAACCCCCAGACAGGTACAAACTTGATTGATAAAAATAGGCAGTCAGCCTGAACACCCAGCCGGGTGGACTCTTGTTTTAAACAAGTGTCATGATACTGGTACAGGCCCTCTGTGAATTTATTATTATTATTATTACTTTACATGCTTATGTTTGGAGTCTTCTGCTCTTTTAGAATTTTCTGGTAATGTTTCCAGTAAGTGGTTGACAAATGTAATGTGAACATTAAAATACTGTTACTGTCATTTTCGAGGCTTCATTCCAAGGTGAGTAAGGAACAGGCTAGCCAGTTTTTGGTTAGGTTACTGAGAAAGAAGCATGAGGGGATTTGAAAGAGTTCATGGGAAAATTCTATTATCTTTCAATTCCATTTTTTTTCCCACCAGCTATCTGAAACTCTTTGTCTGAGGGTGACATGTGGGTTTATATCCTAGGAGAAACTTCAGGCCTTTCCTTTCTTCTCCCAAGAGGAGTTGAAAATAGAGAATTCTGTTTTCTAATCCATGTGTTTATCTGTTTAAAGTTTCCCCACTCTGCCACCTTGGTACACTGAGCGATACTTTCTGCATGCTGAACTGAAACCACCCTTGCATTTAGAACATACCACAAGACCTTTGGGGTCGTGAGTTCTCAGACTTTCTTCCCTTCACCACTGGATCTGAAAGTTGGATTTTTATTACTAGTGAGGTCAGCCGTTCCTCGCAGGAGTTGGGTACCGACAGCCCGGGGGATGGCTGTAAGGCTTCCATGATGTCGCTGAAGCCGAGACTACTGCAAGCTGTACCCGATTCTGCAGAAGACTGCCCCCACATGCAAACCTGCAACATTGGCTCTCAAGCCCAGGGGGGTCCATGGCAGGCCAGCTACAGGCCTCATGTGAAAGGGGGAGCACCTGCTGTAGATAGAGGTAAAGGCTTGTCCTGAGTGTTTCTTCAGTGAAGCGTCACTGAACTAGAACTCACATTCCATCCAATTCTAAAGTCCATCCAGTGACTTTTAGTATATTCACAGAATTTTAGCACCTTTCCTCGCTCCAGAAAGAAGTGGCGTAATCATTAGCAGTGACTTCCCACCCTCCCCTCCTGTCACAGATCTTGTCGTTACGTTTATACTGGGGCTTTGGACACATTCTTTCTGGTTCAGTCATGGCTAATGAAGTGACATTGGAACAGACCCAAATTTGTAAAATGGGAGTGAACTGGAAAAATTGTGGATTGATGTCCTGCCAGAAACTTCAGTCTCCTTAGAAAACAAGGGCGGCAGCCAAATCTCTTGAGCAGCAGAGTCAGAACCAACAGCGCCCTGCTTGGAGCTGGTGGCTGACTCACCGCCTTGAATGTCAGTCGCTGTCCACAGTCCTGTCAGGAATCCGGTCTCCTGCCTCAGGCTGCTCGTAGATTTACTTCCCAATCCAGGACTTCAGTGTGTCATTTCCCCATTCCAGTACACCCACAGTTTATTCTCCCAGTTATTTCACATTCCCAATGATTTTGTATTTACTGTCCCATTACAAGGAGCCCTTGTGACTGGTAGTGCAGATGGGTAAGTGTTGGGCTGCTAACTGTCAAGTTGGCGGTTCAAAACTACCAGGAGGAAAATGAGGCTGTCTGCTCTCATAAAGATTTACAATCGTCGAAGCCATGTAGAGGGTCACTGTGAGTCCGAATTGACTCAATGGCAGTACATTTTGAGTGAGTTCCAGTGTCACTACATCAGCCATAACTGAATTGGCTCAAAGCCCAGCTCTATACAAGGGGGCTTCAAAAAGATTTTGGAAAAATTAAATTGGAAGATATGGAATTTTTCTACAAAGTTTTTGAAGTCCTGTCGTATTAACATAACAGTAAAGTTTGCCAATAACCAGTCAGATCTGTTCCCAGTTGATCACACCTGCTTTCATTGGTGAAGCACCTCTTTGAAGCCTGAATCTAACCTGTACCTGGGGAGCAGGCTTGTTTCTCCAGCTAGACCAGGTGCGAGTGACTGTTTTCTTCCCCTAAAGGTGCTCCCATCGGTGATGTCCAATCTCCTGCTTCCGGGCCGATCCCAGTGGTGCCTAGTCCTTCCAAGCCGCGGACAACAGAGCTGGTCCTTCAGCGAATGCAGCGGTTCAAGAGAGCAGACCCTACTCGTCTGAGACATACTTCCGGCACATGCTCATTCGAGGCAGCAACTGCAGAAAACACCCCAGAGGACCCTCAAGAAGAGACAGTGGTGGGGAATGGTATGATAGGGACGCTTCATCTTCCACCCCAAGGTCAGTGATGACTCCAGGGAAAGGGAGAGGGGGGCTCACCATCACGGCGTGTGTGCTCTGGGACGCCAAGTGGCCGGTAGCTTTGTCAGCTCACTGTGTCTAGCTAGAGAACTGAATCTCTTCTCACTTCGCTTCTCTGACAAGGCAGGTCTTGCAGGTTCCAGACCAGCAGCAGTAAAGCAAGTATCACAGTAAAGTGGCTCAGGCACGTTGTTTGGTTTCCCAATACAGAGAAAAGTGCTGTGGGCCCCAGAGTATAGCCTCTTCAGTGTACAACAACATCGCAAAGCGTTTGAGATGTTGTGAGAATGACCCAGAGACATGAGGTGGGGAGAACAGTGCCTCCAGACATGCTCCCTAGCAGGGCTGTCGCAGCCTTTCAGTCTGTAGACAGACCAGTGTCTGTGAGGCGACAGAAAGTGGCACACAATACAACAAGGGATGCCTGTACCAATTTCTCCTTTGTCGTCCTGATTTTTTTATTATAAAGTCATTCAAATATGGAGAAAAATGGAAAGGATTAAAAAAAGATATAATGACCTTTCTATGCCTTTAACTCAGATTTAATCATTGTTAACAGTTTGCCATATATCCTCTTATCTATGTCTATAAATAGGAGTCCTGGTGTGGTGTGTAGGACTATCACTAGACTGCTAACCACAAGGTTGGCGGTTCAAACCCACCAGCTGCTCCTCAGAAGCCGTATGCAGGGTCGCTATGAGTCGGCACCAACTAATTGGCACCTAGTAACAATGTCTATAAATATACATTTGGTATGCACCATGTCCAAGTAAGTTCTAGGCAGCATGATACATCATCCCAGTTCCTCCCGGGTGCATGGCCCACGAACCGCATCTCCATGAGCATACCTGGTACCCACAGTCTGATTTGCCTTGCTAGCCAGGCTCTGTTCTAGTTTTGGAGCTGGGAGTCAGTGTGACTTCACAGCCTGCATGTGCTCATAGCCCGACAGTCTCCTGCTGTCTGGAACCGACCACGGTGCCCCCGTCTCTTTCTCTTCCGCACAGCATTGACTTTTTGTAGTCCATGTAAGTTTGTCTCGTAAAGTTTCCCACTTCTGGGTTGATTTCATTGTTTCCTCATGATGTCATTTCAACCCTTCCTCTAACCAGGGATGGAGGACCCTACCAGCAAAGGCAGCACTTGTGGTTGCGCACTGATCTCTAGTGAACAACACACAGGATTTCACTAGAGATTGGTAAAAAAGCACCAGGCAGCCTGGGCTTGCCTGCGCCGCCGCTGTCTCTCACCTCTGTAATTGGTCAGAGGTCTATCAGGAATGAGTCACAAGTGCTCTGCACTTCCTGGTGCACACACACACACACACCCCCCCCGAGGTGCATCATGTCAGCTGTTCCCCTTTGTCCCCAACACAATATGGACACTCAGCTCCAATGAGAGTGAGGGAGAGGGAAAGAAACCCGGAAGAGACCAGCCCACCAGACCTCCGCAGGCTGGGGTGGCGTGCAGATGAGGCAATTGTGACTCAGAGCGACCCCACGTGATAGAGTAGAACCTCCTCATCACGTTGCCTGGGGTCTTTTCTCCCGAGGAGCCACCAGATGGGTTGCAGCCACCCACCTTTCTGTTAGCGGCTGCGTGCTTGAGTGTTGCGCCACACGGGCTCCTGTTGACAATGTGACCTCTGGCACCACGCTGGCAGTCTCACCTTGAGGATCCACAACATCCACACTCTGTAACACCCACAGGTGAGTTTGCCCTTGGAGCCTGTCCTCATGAGTCTCCATTGCTTCTCGCCAGGCTATGAACCCACGCCCCCTGCCACAGAGAGCGACATGGCGGTGGCCCTCGCCCTGCAGCAGGAGTTGGGGCAGGAAGCAGCACCCGCCCATGCAGATGACTTGGAGGAGAAAGGATGGTTTTTCTGCCAAATCTGCCAGAAGGACCTGTCCACCATGAACGTGACGCGGAGGGAACAGCACATGAACAGGTAGGAAGAGTCTAAGGTACGAGTCCTAGGACACGTCCACATAGCGATGGACCTCAGCCTTCCTTTGCTTGCTTTTTTCCCTTCTCTTTTTTTTTTAAAACAGTTTTGTTGTTGTTGTAAAGTGCCATTGAATCAGTTTCAATTCATAGTGACCCTATCTAGGGTTTCCGAGGCTGTAAATCATCAAGGGACTAAAAGGTCTCATCTTGCTCCTGTGGAGCGGCTGGTGGGCTCGAACCGGGGACCTTGTGGTTTGCAATCCAGTACTTATTGTATAGAGCCACTGCACTTCCTTAAACAGTTTGAATGAGATGTAATTCATTTAAATATAAATCAAACCACACAATTCACTGCTCAAAAGTGTACACACCAAAAAAAAAAAAACAAAGTGTACACACCAAGGGTTTTCAGTCTCTGATGTGCCACCATACCATCAGTCCGCTTTAGAACATTCTCATCACCCAAAAAGGAACCCGAATCCTGTACTCCCTGTATCTGCCCCGTTCTGCCAGCCATCCTCTGCTTTCTGAATCTTGTGGGAAAGGTTGGCCTCTTGTGGACATTTTATACTAATGGACTTGTACAGTATGCAGTCTTTGACATCTGACTTTTCACTCTGCAGAGTGGTTTCCGGGTTCGTCCACGTCATATCACATATCAGAATTTCAGTCCTCCTTAAGGCGCTTCCATTCCTATGGAGAACCCGCATTGATCTGTTCATCTTTTCTGTTGTTATTTGGGCTTTAAAATACAGAAATTTGTTTTCTTACCATGCCAGAGGCTAAAAGTCCAAGCCAGTGTCAGCCGTGTTGGTCCCTTCCTTGTCAGGAGCCCTGGACGTTCCTTGTAGACGACCCCTCCCCACATAGCGTCTGTTTCTTCTCCCCCATCCCCATGTGTTCATTCATCCATTCATCTATCGATGGACACTCCAATAGTGCTGCTTTGAACCTGTGTGTAGCTTTCTGTGTGGCCACACGTCCTCATTCCTCTGGGGCATGTTCCGCGGAGCAGAATTGCAGGGCCCTTTCTAACAGAGTGAAATCATTAGTCACCTTTGCTAACAGATGCCTCAGCTGTGTGTCTGGAGCCTGGCTTATTACACCCAGCAGGACTGCCAGGAGACATTCACGCTGGGTGGGGAGGGAACAGGCTGGGGAAACAGCCTGTGACTCGTTGTGGCTATGCATTGACATGGCTCCCTGTCAGCTGTGATCCACACCACCAAGGAGGCTGCGTTTCCTCTCTGCCATCTCCCCACAGATGTTTGGATGAGGCGGAAAAGGCACTGAGACCCTCTGCCCCTCAGGTCCCCGAGTGCCCCATCTGTGGCAGATTGTTCCTCACCTTCAAGAGCCGAAGCAGTCACCTGAAGCAGTGCGCAGTGAAGATGGAGGTCTGCCCCCAGCTCCTCCTGCAAGCTGTGCGACAGCAGACAGCACAACTCGAGGGGGACTGCAGCCCCACCACCCCCAGGTGAGGCCCACGGACAAGCAAAGTGAAGACGCTGAAAAATGGGCGTTTATTTTTAATTGTGGGCTGTGTGACTATTTACAGAACAAATTCTCTTCCTAGTCAGCAGTTTGATTGTTGTGCGGAGCATGTTCCTCCCGGGTGCTCTTGTTCACTTCGTAGGCTTGTCATTTGGCTGAAAAGTGGGTTCAGTTCCAGGCTTGCAGGGTGTCTAACTGAGACCATAGCGTCAGGGTTCTACTAGTCTCTATTCAACCAGTCTCTTTGTTTTGTTTGTCAAATAAATCTTAGAATGCTGGAGGGATGTAGAGCCCTCTTTGTTTTCTGTAAATGACAGAGTTAAGAATGAGGCACAGTCTCTGAGGTTGTCTGTCTTTGAAGGCTTTGAAGTGGCAAGACAGCCAGGTGTGTGGAAAGAGCTGGAATGGTTTCCTGCAAGTCCTTCCTTCCTAAGAGTTTTCTGATCCTAGTGCCCTCAGGGCAGCGAAGCACTTAGCCACTCCCCTCCTCTCCTCACATAACGTTACCCAGCATGGTTTCTATCCCAGTGGACTCCAGTTGTCTTCGTTTTCATATAAGACTCAGGTGCCCTGGAGAGCCAGCGGCTCTGTGGGAGGAGGACCTGGGGGTCTACCCCAATAAAGATGGGGCTGCTCTGCTCTGCCTGCAGGGTCCCGGTGAGTAGGGATCCACACACAGGCACCCAACAACAATTTGCGATTATTTGACAAAATTCAAGAGAGTCAGTGAGACAGAACCAAGGAACCTTATTTTTAAGACAATTTGCATGAAGGAAGTGTAAATGTGTTAAAACAGGCCTTATTGAAGTGGGTGCAGACTCTAGCTGCCAGAGAAATGGAAGGCCAGCCCCATGGCCTGTGGGCCCTGTCGTGGCCTGCACCAGGTTCTGGGCCCTTGAGCTGGACTGGTGCCAACGGGGGCGGGGGCAGAGGTCTTGTCTCAGTCCACGGGCCTGCCTGGATTTTAGTGGGAACACTTATGGTCAGGTCCTGGTGAGTTGAGCCTGAATTACTCCCTTAGGTCTTCATGGAATCCTGGTGAAGCCAGGTGAAACACTCAGCTGCTAGACACAAAGTTGATGGTTTGAAGCCACTAGATACTGCAGTTTGCAACCCTATGGGCCAGCTCTTCCCTAGCCTATACGGCTACTCATACTTGACTCAGTAGCCTGGGGTTTTTGGTCAGCTTTTTAAAAAATTCTGGCTTAGACCTTTGTAAGGCGTGCTGATAATACAGTGCTATCTCAGCTGCTAGTCAGAAGGTCAGTGGGTGGAGCCTGCCAGCCACTCCCAAGGGAGAAAGATACGGTGCTCAGTTGCTGTAGATTTGTGGGCAGTTCTCCTGGGTCCCAGAGGGCCACTAGGAGCCAGAGTCAATGCCACAGCAGCTGGTAGAGATCTTCCTAACGGCCCGTGGACAGAGTAGAACCGCTCCACAGGACTTCCTGTGTTGTCATCTTTATGGGGGCACATTGCCACGTCCTTCTCCCTTGGAGCCACAGGTTGGTTCAAACCGCTGACGTTTCAGTTAGCAGCTGAGAGCTTAGCCGAGAACATTGTCCCACCAGAGCTTCCTTCATGAACACTAGTGTTGGAGAGTTTGGCAGGACCTCTCTGAGGTCATGGCAGGGACTCATCTCTCTGGCCAGACCAGACCTCAGTGGCCTGCTCAGATGCATTATGTCTGGGTTTAAAAGAAACACAACATGGGTGGGTATGTCTAGAAGGTGGGGAGAGTAGGAAGCTACTGCAGTGGACCCCCCCCTCTCCATCTGGGACCCCCCATGGCCAAGCTGGGGAGCTCTGGAGCTCTGATGTAGTCTGAATTCCTGTTGAGGAAAGTGCTGGTCAGAGGCCGCCCCTTGTGTGCACCCCCTGCGCCCCTCATATGCTTCCCCTTTAGCTTCAGCCCCATAGCTGACTGGGCCTTGCCTACTGGGATGCGAGGGGCACCCATGGCAGCTGCTACATGAGAGACCCCAGACTTTGGGGCACCTCTTTGACCTTTTAAAGACTACAGCTGTTATACTGACTTCCTGGGAAGTTGGAAGTGAATTAAGGCTCATTTGGAACTCCCAGGGTGATTCCTAGGTTTGCTCTGTTGAAACTTCTTTTCTCACCTGCTTTGTGTCCAGCCTGGCGAGGCTCACCCAGGCAGACGCCCTCCAAACCCAATGAGCCAGGAAGCCTGAGAAGCGTCCCCTCGACTACCAAGTCAGCTGACCAGGCTGCAAGCTGAGCAGGGTGGCTTGTCCTTAAGGCAGGGTTGGGGTCCTAGAGGAGGAAAGGGGCCCTTCCTGGCAGGTGCCAACAGGACTGCCTGCGGGCATCAGCAGTAGGTAGGTGAAGCTGGTAGGGACCCAAGGAGCTGCCAGGGAGCCATCAAGTGTCCCATTGTTTCTCTGGACTCCTGCAGGAGGCTTTGGCCGTGTCAGGATACAGGTCCTACACACGACTCTGTTTGTCCACCAAGAGCCTGCTGGGTGGCAGCTCATGGGTGGACTAGGTCCTCCTGCTCCCAGTCAGCACCACCGGTCCACGTCTAGATCATGTGGACTTTTGAACAAGATCTTGTAACCTCATCTGAGGCAGTAGAATAAGCACAGACCCTGAAGCAGCCCCCTGGAGCCCCCACTAATAATGTCTAGCCCCCTCTTAGAGCCTCCACTGAGAACACCCAGCCCCCTCCTGACGCCCCCACCAAGGAGAACTGGTCTCGCTCTTTTGTCAGGTGGGGCCAGGTCTCAGCCATCACTAACTCACCTCTCTGACTGCTTTCTAAGCTTCAGCCATCAAGTTGGAAGTCTGAAACGGAAAGGAGCCCCCAACAAGAAGGAGCCCCCCAAAAGACGGAAGATCAACCAACCGGAGGCACCCTCTGAGGACCTGCTGATGGCCATGGCTCTGTCCCGATCGGAGGTGGAGCAGTCCGGGCCTGAGCCAACGCTCAAACTAGAGAGTGCTTTTTCCAAGTGGTTTAAGCCAGGAGCAGGTATTGGGACATGGGAGCAGATATGGGGGACTGAGAGCAGATACGGGGGGCCGGGAAGCAGATTCAGGGCATCTGGAGCAGATATAGGGGTTGGGAGCAGTATAGTGGCCTCAGCCTGTGGTGACCCCAGGGAGAGCCTTCCCGTACTGCTGTCCACCTGGAGCTGACCACCAGATGGGTGGGTAGACTCCATCACTGACCCGATGCTGCTTGTTTATCTCTAGACAAGAAAAGCCGTAGGAAGCAGCTCACCAGCTCCCTGCCCCCACTGCTGCTCCAGGATTCCGAGGCTGCGCAGCAACACACAGAGAAGCGAGTGGCCATGCTCTTTGCAGAGGAGGTAGTGATCTCCAGCACGCCGCCACTGCCCAAGAGTGGACTCTTGAAGAAAGAGTCGGAGAAAGCTGGCTGGCGTCTGCAGCTTGCTGAGGGGAGGCAGAAGTTTCTGTGGGAGGGCAGCGCCCTGGCTGGAAGCTGGACCTTAGAGGCCTTCTACACGACTAACTTGGTCCCGCCCATCGTGCCCCGGCAACCCGTCCAGGTGAGGCCCTCCCCTCCACACACCTGCCAACAGGCTCTGAGGAGAGGCTGCCGGAGCTGCACTGGCAGCGGGAAATCTGGGAGGTTGGTAGAGGTGGGGAGGGTGTCATCACAGCGTGTTGCTCCTTGGTCAGAGCAGAGGACCCTTGGTTCTCTAAATTCAGTGTCCTCCTAGGGAGGTGGTTTAAGATGCAGAAAGCCGGGCCCTGGTCCCAGAGCTGTTGCCATCATCTGTCTGCAGTGGGCTCCAGGATTCTGCATTCTAAACAAGCGATTCAAGCATCTCTGACATAGGTGGTCCTGGACTCGTCCACCTGAGCCCAGCTACACACCTAGGAGGAATTCCCAGGCTGTGCAAACAGTTCCTGCACTTGGCTGGTGACTGGAAGGTGGGCAGAGTCCACCCAGAGGCACCGCCAAAGAAAGACCTGGCAATTTAGCTCAGAAAACTCCGCCATTGAAAACCCTCTGTGGTTGCACTTGTACACTGACACGCACAGGGGCGTTAGAAGCCGGGTCAACTGAACAATAGCTGGGGACTGGTTGGGAGGGCGGGTCCAAGGCTCCATGACAAACCTTCTTCCTAATGTGGGTGCCACCAGCTGGGCCTTGGCTCTGACAGAACCCTTGTCCGACCCTGGTGATGTCTGATGAGAAGAGTCGCACCGCCATGTGCTCCAGCCAGGCCTCCCCTGACCCCTGTGTGAGGCTAACAACATGGCCAGATTGACCTTCTGACTCATCCTAGGGTCTCAAGAAGGAACCAACAAGTCCAGTAATGCAGCCTGACCAGCTGAAGCTGGATGCAAGCCCACCGCTCATCCCCTGTGGCCCCAGAGTGGACTCTGTGGAGCCTGTTGGCCAGAAGGCATCGCCCTCCTCCAGCCAGAAGGAGCGCCAGGCCCTGCAGGACCTCATGGACCTGGCGGGAGAGGGGCTGGGGCCCAGCAGCGGGGGCCTGGCTGACTGGGGCGGAGAAGCAGGTGAGACCAGGAGGGATGGCGGCCAGCCGCCATGATGGCAGCTTGGCTCTGAGGTTCGTGGCTCACTCTGGGACCAGGGGAAGAGCACTTTGATCTCTGCCTAGACCCTCTGCCATTGAGTCAGATCCAAGTCAGCAACTGTGGGGGACAAGGGCAGACTGGGACTCATGACTGCAGCTGGCTGCCCCACTCTCTCCTGCAGAATGGCTGCTGAGTTCAGCCTTGGATCTTGCAACTACAGACCAACGCCTAAGCCACAGGCTACCAGGGTTCCTTCTCAATCCCTCTAGGTAGCTGCTTGTCTCTCTGCTCACAGGACAATGCACTTGGTAGTGACTCACTCAGTGTCCCTCCAATGTTAACCAAGGACACAGCCTTCTGGCTGATGTTCTCTGTGGCTCTAACCAGAGACACAGTCACTTACCAAATGCCCTGCTTGGGGTTCGGCTGCTGGCCTAACCTGCTGGCCCTTCTCTCAGCCGTAGATTTGGTGCCCAGCAGCCTCCCGCTGTCGGGGTTCGTCCTGCCACCCCAAGAGGAGCATCTGGAGAGGGGCAGCCGCACCTCGGTAAGAACCCAGGCCCTCCCTCTCACTAGCGCCCCCTAGCGTACGTGTGACCACATGTAGCCATTGACCGCTGTCCACTGTCCCTGCTGCAGCTCTACCTTGGCCTGCTGCTCTCTGACTTCGGAGCCATGGTCAATAACCCACACCTGAGTGACGTCCAGTTCCAGGTGGACAGTGGGGAGGTGCTTTACGCCCACAAGTTTGTGCTTTACGCGCGGTGCCCACTTCTCATCCAGCACGTAAGTCCAGCCCCTTCCTCCTCACACTGCCTTGCCCTTTCCTCTCCCCCCATGTGCTGCCTTCTCCTCTGAGCAGTCTCTCCCTGCGATCCCGCCTTCCTGGCTCCTCAGCTCTGTCCTCTGGTTTGGAACTTTTGACTGGGAATTAGGTGGAGGTTTACAGAGCAGATCCGGTTTCCGTCCAGTCCTTCTACCTGTTGTGTTTCATCTCATTGACTGCAGTCCTCTTGTCCCACTTCAGGCCTCTGATTCCTGTCTCCATTCTTGCTTGTTTCCTCACCTTCTCTATTTTGTCTGGGGGCAAATGCTGCCCCTTGAATCTCACGTGGTTGATTATTCTAGGAGTGGGTAGCTCCCTGGATTACTGTTACTGTTACTCTTATAGGCCTCTCTATTGTTTGGCTGAAAATGGAGCTATGGGTTTGAGTTGAGTTGCAGACCTGCCGGAGGACTAAGGGCAGCAGCTCTGTCTTGAGCCTTCCTCACATCCCTTCCCTCCCACGTTCTCTCGTCTTTCTCCCTCCGTTCCTCGCCTGGCAGCGTCTGTCCTCTCCACTGCCATTGTGGTTACGGCTTCAGCGGGGAAGCAAGAAAGACATTTGAGGTTAGGAAGTGGTGGAAGGGGAAGACCTCCGGATTGTGAAACTTCAGATTTTGCGTTTGGTCGAGTGATAATCCCTTCTTCCCAGAATTGCTCCCTCTTTCCCTATTGGCAGTAGCTGCAGGCTGTGCTCACCAGCCTCTGCTCTGACACTGTTCTGACATGGTTTGTCCCTAGTGTCACACCAGGAATCTGGGAATGTGCTGCTTCTCCCCCTGTCAGCAGCGAGCCTTTGGTAGATCTGTCAAGAGGGAGCTAAGTGGGCTCTTGAATGCTCATCTCTGATTTGATGTTGAAAACAGAAATGCTGTGGCCAGCATACAGACCCAGCCAGCACAGGAACTCAACATCGGCGAGTGCTGCTCTGGGAAGACGAGAGTCAGGCGGTCTCGCTTCCAGCTGTGCTGGTGCACCCAACAAGCCAGTTCTGTTTTGCGTCCCCCTCAGGTAAACAGGGAAGGCTTCGTCGCTATAGAAGATGGGGACCTGAGGACCCAGCGCGTCCTGCTGAGTGATGTTAGCACAGAGGCAGCCCGGGCCTTCCTGCACTACCTCTACACTGCAGACACTGGCTTGTCCTTCTCCCTGGCTCCTGACCTGCATTCCCTGGCCCTCAGGTCAGCTCGTCCTCCTCCTGATTTCACAGCCCTTGGGATTATTGGCCAGGACTAGTGGGTTTACAAGTTCCTGGTGGTGCAGATAGTTAAGTACTCAACTACTCACCAAAAGGTTTGAAACCTCCCACCTCCCAGAAGCGCCTTGGAAGGCAGGCCCTCTCCAGTTTTACAGACCCCATTGAGTTCCACAGCTTAGCTTTCTAGTATAACAGACATACCCCAGGAGGCGGTTAATAAGCAGAAAGGTGTTTCTCGTGGTTTAGGAGGCTAGTAGTCTACACTCAGGGGGCCAGCTCCAGGGGGAGGCATTCTTTGTTGGCTCTGAGGGAAGGTCTCTCTCCCCTGGCCCCACAGTAATCATCATTAAGCATTTCCTCCCCACCTCTGCTTCCTGGCTTCATCCGCTCTTTTCTATCCCGAGAGATTGGTTTAGTAGATACCCTAGACTGACAAAGCCCATTCCCAGATGGGATTATAAACCCAGGTACAGGGGTTAGGATTTACCACAGCAACTTTGGGAAGATGCAGTTCAGTCCCTAAGCACCATAATTCTAACCTTAGCCATATTCACCCAGTTTCACTCACTGCGATGGTGTTCATGGACCCTGCCTGAATGGTGGCTCTGGAGTCTATAACCCAGTGGCCTGGAGATGTTGCTGGACACAAGGGTGGGCACTTTGAAGGGGAAGGGGAGAAGCCAGGAGCAATTTGCAGCCTGCTCTGGTCCTCAGCTGGCTCCTGACGTACCCGGGTCTACGTTGCAGGTTTGGTGTGAGTGAGCTTGCCCATGTGTGTGAACAAGCACCTCTGGAGACGGACGCACACAGTGCTCCCTGGAAGAAGGAAGAGGAGGACTGTGTCAGCAGAGCGGACAACTTCCAAGAAGTCTTGAGGTCAATGTGGCTGGACGAAGAAGGAGACGCAGAGGCCCTGGCAAAGCCTGAGGGCCATGGAGAGGACAGAGAAAAGGTGGACGAGGTCGAGATGGAAGAAATTTATGAATTTGCTGCTACTCAGCGGAAGCTACTCCAAGAGGAAAGAACAGCAACAAGAGACGAAGCAGCTGACCAGCTCAGGGAGGAGTGTCCAGCTCCTGCGTGTGTCCTGGCTCAAGGGCAGCTAGAAGATGCAGGACACAAGGAGTCGTCTGGGCAAGGAAGTGACCCGAGCCTGGCAGCGCCCGTCTCCTCCCGGGGCCAGCGTCCCCACGGGGAGGAGGACTCAGGACCTCCTGAGCAGGAAGCCATGTGGAAAGCACCTGGCCAGTGCAGCTCCTCCAGCCCTCCTGGCCGGTTTCGGGCAGGAAGGAGAGGCCGCTCCGTTTTGTACACCTTTGAGGATTCTGAGCAGTTTTTCTCAGCAACTCAAGGGGAATACTCTGAACCCACCCAGATAACAGGCAAGCAAGAGGACCACAAGGGGGTGTCCTGTTCCCCCCGATGCCAGCAGGCACCTGCAGTGCAACAGCCCACCTGGGGCGTGAGTCCCCCCCGGCCACACCCCCGGCCTCACCATGCAGGTGAATCATCCCTGTTGACACCACGATCGAGATCGCAGACTGTGACTTCCAGGGTGGTCTCCTGGGATTCCCCAGTTGTAGCATCGAAGCAGAGGCGGGACAGTGGTGTCCCTGCCTTCCTTCCAGACCCAGGCCACCAGGGAGGCCGAGGTTCCATGGGGGCCTCTCCAGGAAAGTCCTCGTCCATTGACCTCACCCAGTCAGACTCCGCCCCCTCCAGTTCCAGCCCTGCGCACGCCTCTTCAGCTGTGAGCAGAGACACTGATGTGATTCTGCTGCTAGATTCAGACGAGGAGCTGGAGCTAAAACAGACTAGAGCGAGACCTGTGCCCAGTGACCTCGTGGAGGAAAAGAAAGTGCTGGAAGTCAGCCCCAGGTCCTCAGAGCTCTTTTCCGTCATTGACATCGACGCGGATCTGGAATGTTCTCCTAGCCTGCCAGGAAGGGAAGCCGAGCTTCAGCAGGGGGCAGGCGAGCTGCCAGGGAACCGGGGCCACGTAGGTGACAGAGGGCGACGTGGGCTCTTCCATCCTGGGGAGAGCAGCCCTGAGGAGGACAGTGCCACAGACATGTCATGGCTGGTGCCTGCCACACCGCTGGTCCATGGGAGCCACCTCTACTGCCCTCAGCCCCAGGCCTCCAGCGTGGGCTCTAGGACATCAGTGCATAAGGCGGTGCACCTGGAGCCCAGGACCCCATGTGCAAGCAGGGATGCAGATGAAGCCACCGACACGTTTCCAGTCCTTGTGCCGCGGATGGTGCCACCACAGCTGGTTACTGCCTCCCCAGGGAACTCTGAGGGCAGAAGGCGTGCCCCCAGAAACCCCTACGGTCAGCAGCCCAGGCACCACCTCTCTCCTGTAGCTCCCTGTCCACCACGGAGATGCTCACCACCCAGGCCACTCTGGCTGAGTCAGGCCACTTCGAGTGAGGTGGTGGAAGTCGAGGACAGTGACGACGAACCTGGGGTGGCTCCCCACCAGGCAAACAGCAGCCCCCTGCTGGACAGGGAGCCCCCCATTCCCGTGGACGACTGCTGCTGGAGTGCAGAACCCCTCTCACCAATTCCCATCGACCACCTGAACATGGAGCGGACCGGCCCCCTGAGCACCAGCAGCCCTAGCACCAGGGCAAGGGAGGCCTCGGGTCACCTGGCCTGTGACTCCCCCGGGCCCCTGGACACCACCCCGATCCGGAGGAACTGCCCTAACTTGGGAGGAATTCAAGAGCAGTCCCCTCTGGCCAGCTCTCCAGGGGGCAGCAAGCTGAGCTATCTGAATTCAGCTTTGTGGGACGACTGGGACGGGGAAGAGAAGTCTCCAGAGCTTCTCCCTCTGACCCAGAGACGAAGCGCAAACCGAGCTGGAAGACCTGGAGGCTCAGAGACACCCAGTGAGTAACAGGAGGCTGGGGTGACGGGCTGGGCAAGAGCAGTCATGGGCCAGGCCATCCCCACGATGAGGGGAGCAGCCCTCAGCCACACACACACACTCTCTTTTCTCCTATAAGTCAGTGTTTCCTAAACGCGTCTGACCACACGGGTCCCCCAGGAAGTGGCCATAAGACACCATCTGAACCTCCCAGGAGAGGTAAAGACCCTGCTCAGCAAACTCCCCGCACCTTAGGGTCCAGTTTGGTTCCTGAAAAAAACTACACATAGTATCACTATGTGACCCAGGAAGTCCTGTCTGAGGTGTCCAACCAATAGACGCAAAAACACATCCACGCAGCAGTGCACACACATGCTCAGCAACATAGTCACAGCACCCTACAGATGATGTAACACACGTGTCCATCAGCAGATGGATGGGTGGACACAACGTGGTCCGCTAGCCACAAAGAGAAATGAAGTTCTGACACTGCTGCCGTAGGTGAACACGAAACAGCCATACTCAGCAGCAGGCACTTATTGGAAGCCTTCACCTCTAAGAAAGATCCAGAACAAACTAGTCAGTAGAGATAAGAGGCAGATTAGTGGTTTCCTGGGAGAATGGACAGTGACTATGGTGGGTACTGGGCTCCCTTTTGGGGGGTGAAAATGTTCTGGAACTGGACACAGGTAGGCTCAACATGGTGAAACTACTAAAGGCCACTGAGCCAGACTGTTGAATGTGGTTCCTTTTCTATGGTAGGAATTTCACTTCCATTTCAAGGAAAAAGGTCAGAGCCAGCTCTGTCCCCGCAGTCGTTGTCGTCCTCCTCCTCGTCCCAGCTTATTGGACGTGACAGAGCAGACACAAACAGGAAAGCTCACTTGTAAGAGAGTGAGCCAGAACCTCCTTCAACTGTCATTTCTGGCACTAGGGGAGAAGCAAAGACCCTCCAGTGCGGCTGCTCCCAGGAGGGGCAGATGAGCGGGGATGGGCAGGGAAGCCCAGCATCTGCCTCATGGCCTGGAGTTTTCTTTCCCCCTGAACTCTAGGCTGATCAGGTACCAAGGGCCAGCGCCTCCCAGCCCTGAGGGTCAGGTCTTCTAGAAACTTCCCAAGGCGAGTGGTGGGGCCCTCCCCAGAGCTTCTGCTTCAGTGAATCAGGGCAGCTGGGGGGATTTGCATTTCTGACTGGTTCTCAGGTGCTGCTCTGAGAACCAGGGTGGTGGACTTCAGACCCCGGGGTATTAGCCTGCGGACTGAGAGGGCTTTCAAGACTGTGAGAAATGGAAATCTACCAAGAATTTGGAGGATTTTTCAGGAGACAGAGTGTTTAACTCTGTCAGAGTCTCCCAGGGCTCCATGATCTTAAATAAGTAACGGGCCAAATCCTGAACTGTCCATTTAAAAAACACCTTACTGAGATACACGTCACATTCCATACCATGTATCCATTTGAAGTATACGGTGCAGGGTGTCTAGAATAGTCATCATGTTGTGCAACCATTTTCATGGTCTAATTCCAAAACATTTTTATCACCCCGAAAAGGCCCTTATGCCCACTAAGTAGTCCTTCGCCATCTCTTCCCTGCCCCCTGCCCCCAGCCCCTGGCAACCAGGAACCACAGTTTATGTAAATAACACAGTCCTCTGCAGACCACACAACTCCTTCATGCATTCGTTTCCTGTGTGTGCTAAAGGGAGCATTGTATGTATATGTGCTTGTCATTTATGTGGGCATGTTACAGCAAAAAGGACCGTAATAGGCTCCCTGTCTCTCGGGATTTGCCTGTTGAGGACATTTCACATAAATGCAGTCACACTACAGGCCTGACTTTGAAGCCGGAAGCAGAGCTTCACTCCTTTCTATGGCCAGGTCACACTCCATATTGTGTGGAAAGAGCACATTTTGTTCATCCAGTCATCTGTGGATGGACATTTGGTTGTGTCCATTTTTTGAACAAATAATGCCACTACGTTAAAAAAAAAAAAAAAAAAATTGGTTTTTCTGTGGACGTTAGTATCCATTGCTCTGGGGCACATACCTAGGAGTGAGATCTTGCGGAGCCTCACTCTGAGAAACTGCCGAGCCGCTGCTGGTTTTCCAGAGGCTGTGCCAACTGTCTCCATAGCAACAGACAGTTCCAGTTTCTCCACATCCTCATCAGCACTTGGACTCCCCACAATCCCGCTCTTTACATTTGATACCTATAATAGGCATCCCAGGCAGGGTGAGGGGTCCTGGCATGGAAGGATAAGCACTGGACAGCTAACTGCAAGGTCAGCAGTTCAGACCCCCCCAGCTGCTCCTTGGAAACCTTCCACAGGGTTGATATGAGTCAGAACTGACTTGACACTTAACAGCAAGCGGGTGTGAGAGGATCCCTGGTGGCACAACTGTTACGTGCTTGGCTGCTGAGATTGGCGGATCAAACCCACCATCAGCTAGCCGGACGATTTGCTCCCATGAAGTTTCACAGCTGAGGAGACCCTAAGCAACAGTTCAGTTATGAGCCCAAGTGGCGCAGTGACTAAAGCGCTCAGCTGCTAACAGAAAGGTCAGAGGTTCAAGCCCACCAGCAGCTCCCAGGTAGACCCACCTGGCAACCTGCTTCGGTATAGATGACACTTTAAAGACTTGCGGGAGCAGCTTTGGGAAGTGACCCAACAGTAGCAGGCTGAGTTCTCAGTCTCGTGAGTGTGACGTGGATGCTCACGGTGCATTTGATTCGCTTGTCCCAGATGATTGACAAGGTTGAACGTGTTTTCACGCCTGTTTGTCTTCTTTGAAGAAATGTCTACTTAGGTCCTTTGCTCATTTTTTATCTGGGTGATACTTTCATTGTTGAGTTGTAAAACTTTGCTGACTTGTCAGCTGTGGGAAAGGTCACAGGGCTACCCTTTATTTCATGTTGTCGCTGGATCAAATGCTCTTTTAGTGACTTGCCTCAGGTCTCACCACAGCATTCGTGTGCCACCACGTGTGGCTGAGGCTCTCAAGTGCTACACGATCCATCACAGCTGAGAGGGCTGGGAGTTGGCTGCTTTCGAAGAGCAAAGTGGCACTTGGTGTCACATGCGGAAACTCCAGGCCCCTCATTCTAAACCCTGTGCTTCTTGTGTTCTCCCCAGAAGGTACTCACCGGAAGAAGAACTTACCCCCCAAAGTGCCCATCACCCCAATGCCACGATACTCCATTATGGAGACCCCGGTGCTGAAGAAAGAGCTGGACAGGTCAGTGTGGTTCTTGGGGTTCTGCTCATTGGGGCCCTTTCCTCCTGTGCCTTACTGGGCTCACCAAGGCTGGGAGTTGGGTTCTTGGCGGACATGACTGCTGTGGGCTCGTGAGGAAGACTATCGGGTGGTGAGGTCTACTAGGAGGAAGGCGATTGCACAGTTCCGAGGGAGCTGGGGGGAGCTGCCTGAGTTTCCACACCTACTACACATACTGGTTTCCAAAGTATTTGGTCTGAGAGGCTATGAACTCTAGGTCCTCCAGGTTGCCCCCCAGTACCAGGAATCCCAGTTTTAACCATCTTGAGTCAAGAGACCGGACTTGTAAAAGAGCATCATCATGTTCGCGTACAGATGAATGCTGCGCTTCAACTTGGGAAACGGGAAGCTGTCTCTGCCTCTTCCAGGGCTCCGCCAGTGCTCAGAATACTGTGGTGGGAATGTCTTCAGAGAAAGCTCAGTCATCACTTCAGAAAGACATAGGCCTCTGACTGCTCATCAGAAGCAAACACATCATGTTTGCTGAGCAGCCAGCCGCTCGTGGGACTGGCAGAGTGTGGTTGAGTGCCACTGTAGTCTGTGTGTCTGGCAGCATGTGGCTGACCACCAGCATTCCCCTACTTTCCGGTATAGGTTTGGAGTCCGTCCTCTGCCCAAGCGCCAGATGGTTCTCAAGCTAAAGGAGATATTCCAGTACACCCACCAGACCCTGGAGTCCGACTCTGAGGATGAGATCCCATCCTCACAGGTGCCTCCAACCCACACCTTCTCCGCTGCCACCACCACCGAGGCCACCAAGACTTCAAGGGCAGGAGGTCACCTCCTGCCAGAAGATACTGCTGGCCCCAACCTCCAAAAACCAACAGGGCCCACTGAGATCAAAAGCCCCCGACGCAGGAGGAAGCAGCCAGGGAAAACCCCCCCAGCCCTGCACACGCCTCCAGGCTCCGATGGTGACGGCCAGCTTCCCGCCTCCCAGGAGTCTGCAGCCAGCTCAGTGACCAGCAGTGATGGGTCCTGGGGCTCACAGAGGTAACTGGGTGGGAGGGGAGGGTCCTCTGAGCACTGGGGTGAAAAGCTGGGCAGAAAGGCCACTGGCTGCCTTCCGGGTTTGACTCAAAGAACATGCGGGCAGGTGGTGCCACTGTGGCCCCAGCCTCGCAAGCAGAGCCTTTTGGACCCCAGTCCCTGATGGCCCTCCTTGCTCAACCACAGAGACCACCCCCTCAGGGTAACTGCCTTTGGGGGTGGGGGGTGTGAAACCCTGCCAGCTAGCCCAGTTAGACTGCCCGGGAAGGACCTGCAGCCCTGGGCATCATTCCAGCGCCACTCTGGGTTCTGTGGACACGCTGATGCCCTCCAGAGACCAGGCAGGGTGAGGTTTCACCTGCCGCTGCTCCATTCTTTCCAGCTCTTCCACCGGTGAGTTTGGAGTGGCCTTTGAGTCTGAGGGTGCTGATGAAGGTGAGGAGGGGGTAACTGCCTCACAGGCGGCCACCAGGACAGCCGACACGGAGGCGGCAGTGTGGCGCTACATCCGCTCCCAGCCCGCACTGTACCTGAAGGTCCTGCGGTACCAGCCCCTGGAGCTGGCAGCCCTACAGGCGGAGCTGAGGCAGAACGGCATCCGCCTGGCCACGGGGAAGCTGCTGGACTTCCTGGATGCCCAGTGCATCACCTTCACCACCGCGGCTGCCAGGAAGGAGCGACTCCAGAGGAAGAGGGGCCGGCGGCCTGCGGGCAGAAAGAAGCGCGGGCAGGACTGAGGGGCTGCCCCCCTGGGTTCTGCTCCTGATGCGGTGTTTGGAACCTGCTGCCCAGTGACCCTCTTTCCCTTAACCTGCCATGTCTGTCCCTCTGTGGGCCCCGTCAGCCCACCTGCTCTGTGTGTCCACATTCTGAACCGCAGCCACGTGGGTCTAGCTGTCCCTTCTACACTTGGACCAGAAACCCATCACCAGCAGTAGCCCACCACCAGGCTCCCCACTGCCTACCACAGACACCTGTCATTGTTACCAGCAGTCTCCAGACTAGACCATAGGAGGGCCTGGCCAGGACCCTGAAAGCTTGGCGCTGTTCAGGAGCTCAGGTGCCGGACGGAAAAGTAGTACAGCTCTCTCTCTCCACCCTCAACCTCGTCTTTGTCTGTTGTCCACGCGGTGCGGTCAGTTTTGTATGAAGTGCAATAAAAAGGCTTTGTCAGAATCACTCGGATGTGTCCCTGCTCCAGACAAGAATCCAGACGGGGGCCCCCACACTGTTCTTTTCTCAGGGGCTTGAGGGCCTGTGGACCCTTGCTTCCTTCTGCCTCTCAGACAATAGGCAGGTGCCTGTGGCTTCTTTTCCCCTCTGTCCATTCCATCTCAGCCCTCGCTGTGCAGGGTGGCCTGCGGGCCCAGACCCAGCAAGTCAGAACCTGCCCCTTGATAGGACCCTAGCCAAGAGCTGGGCTGGGGGGTGTAGAGAAAGACTGGAAGTAAGTCCTGCCCACAGCGGGTGTGAGAGTCAGTGGCCATGCAGCTTCAAGTGCCAGGATTGGGACAGCTTCCTGCAAGAGGGGCTTGTGAGCTGGGCCTTAAGGCAGGCTGGCGTTTCCATCACTTACCATTGAGTCAGCCCTGACCCACAGCAATCCCACCTATGTCAGAGAACTGTCAGAGGGTTTTCAGTGGCTGATACTTAGGAAGTCAATTGCCAGGCAGTTCAGGGTGACCTTGAACTGCCAGCCTTTCAGTTAACAACCATCAGCCAGATGTGGCACGTAGAGACTCCCCAGCAGGCCTGTGGGTAGTGCCATCGCGTCAGTTCTGACTCAGCAATCCCGTTTACAGCAGAAGGAAGCACTGCCCGGCCCTGCTTCACCCTCACCCCAGTTCTGTACTGTCACCAGTGTTGCAGACCCTGAGTCGGTCCATCTGGTTGAGGGGCTTCCTCTTAACCCCTGACCCTCGACTTTACCGAGCATGATGCTCTCCAGGGTCTAGCCCTCCTCAAACATACCCATCCTGACTTCTAAGAAGCATTCGGGCTGTACTTTTTCCAACACAGATTTGTTTGTTCGTCTGAGAGTCCATGGTAGATTCGATTGTCTTTTCCAACACCATAATTCAAAGACATCAATTTTTCTTTGGTCTTGTGGGAGTCGGGGAGGTGGGCTTTCCTAAATCTGGGTACAAAATGGAGAGGCCCTGGTCCTGCTGGTGTGTATGAAGGGGCTTCAAAAACTTAGTAGAAAAATCCCATTACTCCACAAGTTAAAAGCTCCATTACTCCACAAGCTTTCCGAAGCCCCTTCATCGGGGCAATGATGAGAGGGGAGAGGGGAAATGGGGGCTCAGGATGCAAGGAGCTACAAGTATTTTTGTACTTATCCTGAGGATGCCCCTGGGCACCAGCTGCCCTTTTCCTAAACTCTTTCTAAGAGCAAGGGCGAGGGAGGAGTTGCCACACTCAGAACTGGGGAAATGAGAATCTAGGCAGCAATGGTAGGTCTGACTAACGGGTCAAAAAGGACAAGGTGATTACAAACACCTGCCCCAAGGACAAAGGAGCCGAAGGCGCAGGTGGACAGCACCCGGACAGCTCGAGGCTGCACTGCTCTCTGCACACCCCAGGCCAGCCCCACTTCCTGTGGTCCCAGGGCACAGCCTGGCCGCTGTGGTCACTCAAGGCAGTTGGGGGTGGGGAGACCCCAGGCAAGTTGCAGAGGCCTGTTCCCACACAGAGACTCCACCTGAGGCAGGAAGGGCTGGGCCACTGCCCATCTCCAACCCAGGCTGGGTGTCTTGCAACACCACACACAGAAAACGCCCCCAGCAGAGCAAGGCCACTGACCCTGCTTTTTCTTGGGGAAGTTGAGGGACATCGAATCCAGAATCTGGGGGTGTCCCAAGATCTCCATGGTGCGGGGTGGTTTTCCCTTATGCTTAGTCCCGTCTGCTGGGAACATGGAAGGTGGGTGCAGAGGCCTCACTGGCCTATTTTAGTGCAGACACCCACAGGCCCTGTGGTTTCCAGTATCCTGTGGGTGGCTTGGTCCCAGCCGCCGAAGCTGCCGCCCTGCGCCTGTGCTCAGCCTGCTCGAGTCTTGGGAGCCAAGCAGCCGCTGTGTGTCCTGCCAGCACCCAGATGGTCCTGGAGGCTCAGGGCGCGTGACCAGGAGGCAGGGAGGCAGCTGTGGTTGTGTAGAACTGACTCTCAGGCCCTCAGCCCACCTCCTTTCACACATGCTATCATCTGAACACTGCTCTCCTGCCCTACAATCCTCTAACTCCCTCTGGCCACCTGCACTTGCTATGCTTGTCTTCTGCTGCAGCCTTCCCCACGTTGTCCACTCTGACCCTGTCCAGCCCTGTCACCCCTTCTCTGTCGTGTGGAACCTGAGCTTCACCTTTAGGGCCCTTTCTCTCATGGGGCAGCCCTTTCTGTCATGCGGGTCCCCTTACTCACAGGAGGACTGATTGTGGGGCTCCACTGGGCCCGGGGTACCTGGTAGGTGATACAGAAAGGAAATCCAAAGGGGAGGAAGGAAGTGAGAGCAGCTGTTTTGGGAACATCTGAGGCTCCTGCAGCAAGCTCACCTCCGAAGGACCCTGTAAGGACCCTGGAGCCACCCCTAGAGGCAGGTCATCCCCTGATGGCGTCTGCTGTCCTTTCTGGCAGATGGAGAGGCAGGGCATTGACCGGTGTTTTCGGTCTGTGGACAGCAGCTCTCCTCTCTCCCAAGCAGCAAGTCCTGGGACACGACCCTAGCGTCACTCCCTGTCCCCTGGCAGGCGACAACCGCGGCTCAGTGATTTGTCGCGAGGCTGTTGGCTTTTGAAATGAGACAGGAAGGAAGGTGGAGGTGGCCCCTCACAGGAAGAGGAGCACATACTGCAGCGGCCGCCGATGGCCGTGGGGACCAGAGCCAGGGCCACATCACCTGTGGGCCCACAAGGCCAGGTTGCAAGTCATCACTGGGCACACCTGAGGACAGTCGGCTAGCTGTCACAGAGAGCTGGGCCCCCACCCCTGCTTGCTGTCTTCCTGAGGCTCTGGGGGTAAGTGGAGCCCAGGCTGCTTCCAGGTGAGGCAGGGAAGGGAGAGGGCACCATTGGTAGGAAGCACAGTGACTTTTAAGGCCCAGCCATGGTGGGGGTAGGGGGTGTGACTGTGAGACACCCCCAGATGGTCCCAGCATTGGGGGCCCCTGGCCCGCCTGAGTTCCCAGTGCAGAATAAACAGGTGCCCAAAGGTGGTCCAGGGACAGGCATCATTCCTTGGGGGCCCTCAGGAAGGTCCGAAGGGCAATCCACTCAGTGGTCAGATGCCAGTTCAGCGGACCGAGTCCCCCAGCAGCTCCCCAAGATAGAGGCCAGGCTACTTCATGAGGAAGGGCGGGCGGGTGATGGATGTTCATTCTGAGAACTGAAACCACAGAGGGCTTCTCGGGAGAGGCACAGCTGAGCTGGGTCAGAGTGGGTGTTCCCTTCCACCACTCCTGGGGCCCTTGGCGGAGCTGGGCTGGAGAGCCCTAGTTCTCCTGGCCCCTGGTCACCACCCAGGTGAGTCTGCAGGCTGGTGCCACCCTCTCTGTCCCGGCTTGAAGTCCAAGGTCTGTGGCGTTGGGGGATGGGAGCGTGGGTGGAGAGCGCAAGGGGCAGTCACTATTTCCATCTCGGGAAGGTTGCTTGATCTCAGGTGGTTTTTGGTCAGGTAGTCAGGTGGTCAGCCATCTGAGGCTGAGGGAGGAGGGCAGGGGTCTCAGGATTTGGGCATCCAGGGTTGGAGGCCCCACAACCTTACCACCAGCAGGTGGGCCAAGCAAGAGTCTCCCTGTGACCACCCCCAGCTTGGAAACATAGGGGTGAGCCAGGATGGGGCCCTCATCAGGACCCTCCTAGAGCTAAGGCAGAAGCTTGGGGTCTGGGGTCCGAGCGACACTCCCACCTGGAGAACAGGAGCTTAGCACCACCTTCCCCAACAGATAGAATTCCCAGGTCACACTGAGGACTCTGGGGGTGGCAGGATCAGAGGGAAGGGGCACGGGGTCCCTGGTAGTCCCTTCTGGCCCTACTGCCCACTACAGCTCAGACCCTCTGTGGCTGGCCTCTGGCCACCAGCCTCAGTCTTCCCCTCACTAAGCTGGGCTCATAGCAGCTGCATTGTCCTCACAGAAGGCTGCTATGTGGGAGGCGTCTGGGGCTAACTGTAGGCCTATTCACAGGGGACATGGAGCTGGTCCCCTCGGGAGAGACCCCACTCCTGGTATCTCATCGGCTGCAGCCGTGGCTCTATTCTGTCCTGGCTCTGGAAGGTCGAGGTAACGGGGTAGCTCCTGGTCAGCCTTTGGGGGGTCTCCTCCTCGGTCTTTGTTGGGAGAAGGAGTTCGCAGGTAAAAGCAGGTTGGGGAGTGGTGACTCTTATCTCAACGTCATTGTGCAGCAGTGCCTGATAAAACACAGGATGCCCACTTACGTTAGATTTGTAGGCAAACACCTTTTTTTTTTTTTAAGTATCAATGTAGCCCAAAAGTTACACGGGATATACTTATAGTAAAAAAAAAGTTTTGTTGCTTGTCTGAAATTCAAATTTAAATGATCTTGGGACACTGTGTTTTATTTTACATTTAAATTCAAATTTAATTTGATATTAAATTCTAACTTAAAATATAATACAGTGTCCTGTATTTTAGTTGGTGAAGTCTGGCAGGCTAAGCCTAAAGTCAGTGGGGCAAGAAAGATGGGCGTCTGATCTTGGAGTGTCAACCCCACACGAAGACTAA